CTCTTTTTTCCTCTCTTCTTTTCTCCTCTCCTCCTTTTCTCCCTTTTCCTCTCCCCTTTTCTCTCCTCTCCTATGCTGTCCCCTTTTCTCCTCCCCTCTTCTCTATTTTAGTTTTGCACGCAGGTCTGCGAAATGCCTCGTAATTTTTTTTTTTTTTTTGAAAGCTTCAAATTTATTTCGCTTACTTATTTGCCTCCCCGCCTCTCAAATAATAAACAAGCGATGGCCGCCATGCTACCTGCAGTGAGGCGCGGTGGAGAATTCCCCTCCATCCACCTACCAGCTCCCCTGGAGGCGTCTCCTGGGCTCCGCCTGGCGGCCTCTTCCCAGCAGGGTCAACCTCCATGGCGATGGGCCCGGGGTCACTTTCCTGGGGGTCTTTCTGTCTGGGAGAAAAGGAGATTCTCACAGACATCGTCTCTCAAGCCCACGGCATCTCTACGTGGAGTCCTCGACTTACAACCACCCCTTTAGTGGCTGTTTGGCGTTATAACGGCACTGGGGGGGAAAAGGGACTTACAACTGTTTTTCACCCTTACTCTGTGGTCATGGGATCAAACTTCGGACGCTCGGCAACTGGCATGTACTTATGACGGTTGCAGGGTCCCACAGTCATGGGGTTCCCTTTTGCGACGACCTGGCCAGCAAAGTTAATGGGGAAGCCGGATCCCGCTTAACAACTGTGGGTGACTAACCTAACAGCTGCAGGGGGTCACTGTGCCAAGAAAGGTTGCAAACAGGCCCCAAATTGGCTTAACACCTGTCTCGCTTAACAGTGGGAATTCCAGGCTCAATGGTGGTTGTAAGTGGAGGACTCCCTGTGTCTCCAGCTGGTCCTCTCTACGGCTGGGTTTATTTTATTTACTGACGGAGAACAGATTTGTGGCTGCTTGTCACGCTATATAACCCCAGGTGGCTAACAAGAAAACGATTGTCATAAAACCTCTGGGAAAGAAAAAATAAATCAAAATCCATCCCACAATAGCAGAGGTGGCATAGGACAAGAACCAGCCCACCAACCCTGCTGGGCCTGTTTAAATTTCTGGCCCGGTTCTTGGGACCGAAATCAGAGCTTCATGGCCCTTCTGGGTTTCACTGGAAAGCAGGTGGAGGAGTTGCCCTCCCACCAATGCCGTAAAGCTGGGGAATTCTGGGAGTTGAATCCATCAATTTTAAAAGTTTACTAGAATAACACCTGGGGAATTCTGGGAATTGAAGTCCGCCCATCTTAAAAGTTCATTAGAATGACAGCTGGGGAATTCTGGGACTTGAAGTCCACCCATCTTAAAAGTTCACTAATTAGAATGATGGCCTG